TTAAGCTGTGGTACTTTTTCAAATAACGGTTTATATGCATATCACACATGATTTGAACTTGGGTTGTTGTGACATTATGTTAAAGTCTCTTTCACTGCATCGAAGCTTCAAGTTGCGATTAAGATTAAGGGTTGTGATTGTAGAGATGGAGCTCAGAAGTGGATTCAGGCAGCAGACAGCTTGGCGGTCGACCGGGGCGGTCGACCGGGGCCCAGACCCGTTTTGCTTGGGTTTTCTATAAATACCCAAACTTGGTTTTAGGGTTTGTAAGCAAGGGGTTTTAGCAGCCATTGAGGGTGAGTTCTTGGGCTTCTATTGTTGGAGCAATTGGGAGAGATCAAGAGTGATTTGTTAAGGGTTTTGGTGAGAGATTTGTAACCCTAGTTGTATCCCCTTGATTTCTAATAGTGAAAACTCCCCCCTCCTTGCCCCGTGGATGTAGGCATCTTGTCAAACCACGTAAAACTGGTGTTTGATTGTTTGTGCTATTGATTTTGGTTGTGGTTTATCTTTTTCTCGGCGATTGGTTTGGGTTCTCGAGGCACAACAAGTGGTATCAGAGCTCCGGGCAACGCTTGGGCTTTTTGGAGGTGTAGATCAGTTGGGAAGTTCATCTAGAGCTTCGATTGGTGATAAATATGGGATCTTTGTGGTAAAGTTTCTATCTTTTTCAAGTTGGATCTATTTCCTATTTGTTCCGCAATTATTTATTGGGTGCTTTGAGATTATGGCCGGAAAAGATAAAAATGAGGAGAGTTCTTCTAGTGTGAAGGCCGTCCAAAGTTTGAATATATATTCTATGAAAATAGATGTGGAAAAGTTCAACGGCACAAATAATTTTGGACTTTAGCGATGTGAAGTCATGGATGCGTTAAATGCGTAAAATTTGAAAGATACGTTGGAGTTGGACGGGAAACCGACCAAAATTGATGATAAGGTTTGGAATAAAATGAATAGAACGGCGTGTGGTGTGATTAGGTCGTGCCTTAACCAAGATCTAAAATATGATGTGATGAATGAAACTTCGGCAAAGAAGATTTGGGAGGTCCTAGAGGGCAAATATTTGACGAAAAGCGTCGAAAATCGTTTGCATTTGAAGAGGAGGTTTTATCGCTTCCAATTGAAGAAGGGGACATCCATTAGTGATCACATGAACCACTACACGAAGCTACTTGCAGATTTGGCGAATGTGGATGTTATAGTTGAAGATGAAGACAATGCATTGTTATTATTGAGTTCATTGCCCGACGAGGAATATGAGACCTTCGTCCTCACCCTTATTAATGGGAAGGCATCTCTTTCGTATAGTGGGGTCACCGCAGCCCTTGTGAACTATCAACTTCGAAAGAAGGATAATGAGACTTCCATTGAGCCGGTTGCGGGGGCATTGGTTGCAAGAGTTAGAAGTCCAAACCGTGGAAGAAGGTCGCAGTCTAGAGGGGGGCATCCTGCAATTGGTAGGAATCAGTGTGCCTTTTGTAGAGAGGATGGACATTGGAAAGCCGAATGCCCAAAATTGCAAGCCGTGAATAATAAAGGGAAAGCTATTCAAGCTTCAGAGGTAAATGTTTCCAAGGCTAGTGGCGATGGTTCAGATTCAGATTCTTCGGGCTATTCGTGCCCAGCTCTTCCGTCAGTTGATGTTGTCGACTCCACCGAGTGGATGTTGGATTCTGATGCTACTTACCACATATGCCCTAGAAGGAATTGGTTCTCCAGCTTTCAGGAGTTGGAAAGAGGGGATGATGTTCTTATGGGTAATGATCACAGATGCCCTATTGGTGGTATTGGTACCGTTCGGATTCGGATGAGTGACGGGATGATCCGGGAGTTGGCTGATGTGAGGTTCGTTCCTCAACTGAGGAAGAACATCATTTCACTTGGGATATTGGAGGCAGCAGGCTATAGGGTGACTTTAGCGGATTCTCGCTTGAAGGTCACATTGGGGTCCATGATTGTGATGAAGGGCGTCAGGAGAAGTAACTTATATTATCTGCTTGGGAGCACGGTGATTGATAGAGCGCTGACGACTTCTATGGCTAGACTGTGGTATTATTTGGTGCTGGGATATATTATTGGTTATACCGTGCACAGATTGTTGAGAAGTGCTATGACCTGCAAATTGAAGTCCTGTGAGCACATTTGGATGAGCGAGAAGACCGAGGTGGAGTTTAGCACTTCTATCCATCGATCGAGGGGTCTTATTGGAGGTGTTCAGTCAAGCATTGGGGGGCTTTCCGAGGAGGCATCATCGGGAGGTAATCGTTATTTTTTTTCCTATGTTGGGGATTGTACTAGGCATATTTGGGTTGCAACCAAGTCCCGTTGGTATAAAGCCCTAGTAGTCCGTAACAGTTAGAGGAGGTGTATGGGCAGAAATGTTACCAGTCGTACTTGTTCTAGTAGGGGTCCTTTCTTGCATTGGGGCTGAGCTCATGGAAGTTGGAGACACTTCAGAGGAGAGGAGACAGTGGGGCGACGTGATGAGATGGTGGATTTAGTGGGCCGTTCTTTTCTGGAGGAGGATCGGCATTGGTTGTCAAGCAGTAGATCTGGTATTCAGGCTTCGACAGGTTTGGGTCATCTTATGAGGTTACCGACTGCTGCGTATAGAGTTGTTAGATCTGGTGGAGCTGTTTCAGATTTTGGTTGGCGTCGGATATTGGGCTACCCAGCACTTGGTCACATCGTGGATGTGAGATTGGATCCGATTGCGTATTTGGGATTCAGAGGCTCGTTCGGCTATCAGTGGGGAGCTTCTGAGTTTGGTCTAAGCAGGTTTGTCACTTTGGACTCTCGGCAGGTGGAGAGTATTGATCAGGTCAGAGGGATATCGCAGCGGGTGGAGGTTGATGCTACTCCACATTGGGTGGGGATTTCCCCACATACTCCAGGTCATTCTGCATTGTTTGGGATTCCAGCTGAGGTGGCACAACGTGAGAGTCATTTATTTATGGGTGCAGATGATGAGGTAGTTGATTTGGATGCAGCTGGTGGATATGTTTTTGATACGGCCATTGTTACATCTCAGGTGGAGGTATTGGATTGTTTTCAGATTGGGGTTGTTGATGATTCTATCAACTGCAATTTGGATTGAGGGCCTTTGGAGGCCATTGGGTGAACTACGTGAAGGCTTGATTCCTTGGAGAGGATACGTAGGCAGTCAGTTTTCTGATACAGCCGATTTAGTGAGTAGACACAGTTGTTTTGGGGTTGAGTGTTCGCACTCCCGTTTGGGTCTCGACGTGTTGTGATTAGAGTCTGTTGTCATGAGTCAGTTGCCATGGCGTACTGGATGCAACAGTTGAGGCATTGGTTTGGTTGGTGTCGGCTCAGTTTTGGTAGAATCTTCGCCGAGGTGGAGATTTGTAGAGATGAAGCTCAGAAGTGGATTCATGCAGCAGACAGCTTGGCGGTCGACCGGGGCGGTCGACCGCGTTCGTGCACGAGGCTTACTGGGCATCGGGATTGGTGGCGGTCGACCGCAGAAGTTTCTGCTTTCGGGTCGGTCGACCGCCGCGGGCGACCGCAGAAGTCTCTGGACCTCGGCGCGATGGATGACGGTCGACCGCGGCGGTCGACCGCCGTAGCGGTTTTGGGCTGGGTCTGTTTTCCAGACCCGTTTTGTTTGGGTTTTCTATAAATACCCAAACTTGGTCTTAGGGTTTGTAAGCAAAGGGTTTTAACAGCCATTGAGGGTGAGTTCTTGGGCTTCTATTGTTGGAGCAATTGGGAGAGATCAAGAGTGATTTGTTGAGGGTTTTGGTAAGAAATTTGTAACCCTAGTTGTATCCCCTTGATTTCTAATAGTGAAAACTCCTCCCTCCTTGCCCCGTGGACGTAGGCATCTTGCCGAACCACGTAAGACTGGTGTTTGATTGTTTGTGCTATTGATTTTGGTTGTGGTTTATCTTCTTCTCGACGATTGGTTTGGGTTCTCGAGGCACAACAGTGATTTTATATCTACCACGTAGATTATATATGGGTTTAAACGCACTTCTAAAAGCTGACTCAAAAAGCCTCTTAACTCTTGTCTTCACAAAAGTCTTCAAACCAACATCAACCTACTCACACAACACTGTAAGCTCATTGCACATGCCATCACATTGCTTCACTCCAAAGATACTCTATCCTTGTACCTAACCTAAAAGCTAAAATGTTTAAAAATTCACAACTTGAAGGAACAAATTTAAGAAGATCTATCCTCTTCTTCCAAAATTA